CTTGTCTGCCTGTTCCGTTGTATGTGTTAATAAATGTGTCGCTATATATTTTTAACCATTAATCCAATGACACAGCATGATCGTAGTGTTAAAATGTTTTTTAAATAATGTGCGAAGCAAAATAATGAATTGTTTCCTAAAATTTCAAAAGTTATCCAAGTCTAAACAGAATTTAAAACAGTAATAACCAGGAAATTAAGAATCAGGATAAATGAGTGAAAAATTATTTATTGGACAATAAACATTTGCGATTTAAATATTTATTTCTATGCGATAAATTTTAAGAGATAAACATTATAAAATTTCATTTATAGGGGAACTCTGTAATAGAGTACTATTGTTTAAAATATACATAACAAATATTATTTTGTGCAAGTAAAGATAGTGATTTAAAAAAGCAAAAAAAATACAATAATTGAATTGAAATAAGAAGTTGAAAAAAATTAAATTCTAAATTAAAAAACAACAAATAAATTAGGTTTGAGTTTGACATTTTGATTTTAATGTTCAGAAATATTGCAACATTTTTAGGCGAGACCAATTATATCATCTGAGGTTTTTAGTTTTTCGTGAAAAGGAGGAAAGGTATACAAACATTCCTATCCATTATATAGGTAGGGTACTTTCAATTGATTTTCTTTAATGTTTAGTTTAATTAGGATTCATTGACAAAATTGAGATGAGAAAACTGTCAATGTTCTCACAGCTCAAGCCGTAATCTGATTAAGTTTAATTAGAACAAATTGTTCAGTGGCCGAATTTAAAGAATTTGAGCGCCGGTTCAAATGTAAGCCGTGGCTTAAATATGGTTGGTTCCACTTAAAATTGTATCAAATGTTTTAAGATTTAAGCCGGTGCTTAATTTAAACCGGGTTTTGGCTGATTTTGGCGGATTTAAACCGCGGCTCAAATTCTTTAAATTCCATCTCCGGTATTCTCGTGATTAAGCTTGATTTAAGTATATGTGGGATTCAGCTATTAGGCATATCCAGAGCTTCAGTGTTCTTTTGCATGTGTATACGTCCTGCAGCTCAGATCTCGTAGTTTCCATCCTGCATAGATAATGTTTAAATCATTTTGTAATTAATTTGGTATATTTAAAGCTCACTCCATAGTCACTAAAATAGAATATTAAGGAAATATATTGTGTGAATCGATATAAACGTCATTAATCAGTTTTCTCAAAACAAAACTAAAGGCTCGTGTATGTCTAATTTTGACATTAATATTCAAGTATAAAGTGTCATTTTTTAATCTTTAAACTTTCAAGTATACGCTTTGGTTTGTCAAGTAAGTTTTAAAATTTTAGGCTTTGCACTGTAAACTCTTTGGACTTATGGAACTTGAAGATTTAATACAGTAATTACTAGAACAGCATGATATGAAAAGATGAATTGTGTTGAATGAATTTTAAAAGTTTTTAAAGGTTACTAATTGAATTAAGTTTTCAACATAAAAGGTTAAAGCATAAATTATTTGCTTATAAAAATGTCGCCTTTACACGCCACAGTATTTTGGTCATCACAATACAAAGGGAGAACATTAAAAGAATTTTATAATACCGTTAATAATCTGGATGGGAATGAATTGACTCCCATTAACATTTCTTTATCATTGGCTGCATATCTCAGTTTATCTCCGTAAACTCTGCACTTCTTCCGGATTGATCCTAAATTGAAACATCAACTTAATATTTCTTATAGATTATTTGAAGTTTAGTCTGTTCCAATAGACACCTTTCATTTATATTAAATACACTCTAAAAAGTTTATAAAAGTATATTTATTATCAATATCGGAGGTAGACTGTGTCTATCGTTAACGTCGAGAGCCAAAAGTATTTTGTATTTAAAAATTAAAGAAGGAAATGACATTTTGCGTAATACTTTGGACTCCCCCTAGGAATTTTAGTAAAGTTTCAGTAGCAGTTCTAGTAGTGGTTAGTAAGTTAAGTTTAGTAGTGGTTAGTAAGTTGAACAATTTGGTGAACAGGTTAGAAGGAAAGATAAAAAAATTGAATAATTAAGTTTGCAATTTGACTCAATAGTTGAAAGAAAAGGAATTATTTGTAGAAGCTTATAAAACGCCCGATTCACTTCTAAGATTTTATTTTGAATTAATTTTGATTATTTGTTGATATTGGTCCTGAAGAAGTGGATGGTGATGAATCTAAAAAGCCTAAAAACTTTAATTAGAGTTGATGATTAATAAATAATTAAGTTTAAGAAATATTCATATGTAATAAATGACCGTCGGAACATTAAACATATAAAGCTATCTCGATATATGGAAATAGCTGAAGTATTGTTATGCCAAGTATATATATATATATATGACAGCGCATGAGGAGTTGGGCCCGCGGAGTAGGACCAACCCGAGCTGCAACGTCAACAGGTTACACACATGATAGATATAAACAGGTTCAAGTACTTGTATAAATCTTATCAAGTGTAGATTTTAGATACCAGTTCAATGCACGTGTTTGTGGTTCCCAGATACCACATAAGTTGAACAATTAGTTGAACAGGTTAGAAGGAAAGATAAAAAAAAATTGAATAATTAAGTTTGCAATTGGACTCAATAGTTGAAAGAAAAGGAATTATTTCCAGAAGCTAATAAAACGCCCGATTCACTTCTAGGAATTTATTTTAAATTAATTTTGATTATTTGTTGATATTGGTCCTGAAGAAGTGGATGGTGATGAATCTGAAAAGCCTAAAAACTTTAATTAGAGTTGATGATTAATAAATAATTAAGTTTAAGAAATATTTATATGTAATAAATGACCGTCGGAACATTTTATACATATCTATATATGTAAAACCATCTTTTAACAAATTCAACTCAGTTATTAAATTAATTTTAAAAATAATTTACATTGATTAGAAGCAAAGAACATCTTGATATAATCAGTGTCAGATACTGTTAATATACAGTATATAGCTATGCTTCAACGGAAACGACAGTGGCCGATGGTGAGATCACTTGTTTTTCACGTCTAACCTTAGCAAAGAGAAACAAAAATGGAATAGTTTAACTTGCATTTGGAGTTGACAGTTCAAACAAATAGAATAATTTTTAGAAAGTAATAAAACTCTTGATTTAATTATGGGAAAAAATGTTCATTTAATTTTGAGTATTGGTCCTGAATAAGTGGATGGTGATGAACCTAAAAAGCTTGAAAACTTTAATTTGTCAAATTCAACTGAAGTATCAAAAGTAATTTTAAAAAATCAACATTGATGAGAAACAAAGAGTTGGAAAAAAACTCAAGGAATAGGGACTGAAAAAGTTTTAAAATTTCAATTATAGTTGATGATGACAAATGATTTAGTTTTAGCAATATTCATATGTAATTAATGACCCTCGTAACCTTTAATACATATTCATATTTTTAAAATCATCATTTGTCAATTTCCACTCTAGTATTAAAAAAGTGATTTAAAAACAATGAACATTGATCAGAAAGAAAGAAGAATAGAGTTACAAAAGAACTCAAGGAAAGGGGACTGTGACCACTGGGGGTCTGAATCTGGTTTGACCAGTTTCCACTTGACGTGGTTTTCCTGGTCCCTTAGATACATGAAGATGGAAGAGAGAGATGTACTTGATAAGCATCTTATTACCAGGTTCAGACAGGTGATATCCCTTGGATTTCTTGTCGAGATATTCCTGCCAAAACTCTGGGACACATCTGTAGCCCTTTGGAGAATCTATCTTCCCAACTTTGCACAACAAGTATGGAGTCATATTGTTGCGCATTTGGTAATCAGTTAGCAGTTGATTGAGTTCTGCTATCTTGGGGAAGATCTCCTCCAGGTTGGGGACATACATCATGGTTGGGAGAGCCACGGGATACAACTCAAGATCTTGAATTATGTCCTGACAATCGGCTATAGATAATCTTATGATGGAATTTTGCCAGATCATCGCTGTCAAGTACACTGTCTCTCCATTCACATCAGACAAACGGGCCTGTTGCTTGACAATGTCAACCAACTGTCCAACTTTCCCTCCATGAACAATGATGAACTCCAGCTTGAAGGGAAGGTTGTCACATGTAGGACTTGATACATCCCAAAGATGACTGCCCTGGGAGTGAACAACAACTAGGTGACGAACTTTGCTGATATCTGAGCAAACAATATCAACACGTTTGTCAGCCATAATATTTTGATTGGTCGATTGGTCTGAAATTAATATAGAAATTGAAAAGATGTCGACGATGCTGAGACTAGAAATACAAATCACATTAAAAATAATATATTTTAGAAGTTTATGGTCTTCTGTATGTCATGTAGAAGAGATGGGGATATTCTTTTTAATAGATCTATTGAACTGTAAAAGTTAGTTCTGATGTTGTTATTTGTTGCTCATCTTCAAATCTAAATATAAATTTACATTTAAATCAAATGTAAAAAATGAAGAAAAAAATGTAAAATTTATGCGTGTTAATAGTCTAAGAAACATGTGTATACATGTTCGTATGAGGGTGGGGGTTATCCTGGGGGGAGGCTCTTTTAATATTACATTTGTTTGCATTTCCCTTCCTCAGGCAATCTACATTCTACTTTGCATTGCATTGCACTCACCGAAACTGTAAGATTAAAAAAAGAAATAAAATATATTCTGATTAACACCATTACCCTGCAAAGCTATGTCTGATCAAGTATTGTATTAAACATCAGTAGTGTAATTTAAGGATCTTTACACCCTATTCTTGCCCTTTTGATTTGTTGAGTATCTATCTATCATAGGTAAAAAAAGTATGATGAAATTTGCCCGACACCTAAGACGACCTGTCATACTATGACTCATTTTTTATTAATAGCCATTAACATTTTTTTTTTACTTATGATGTTAATGTCTATTAATAAAAAATGAGTATGACAGGACGTCTTAGGTGTCGGGCAAATTTCCTCATCTTATTTTACTTATGATAGATAGATACTTGATAAATCAAAAAGTCAAGAATAGGGTGTAAAGATTCTTAAATTACATTAGTTAATTACCAGTTCTCATAATTTTTAGTATTTATTTTCATACCCAAAATACAAAATAATAATGCCTGCTGGTTTAGCTTAAAATAAAACACAAAAAAGAATCTCAATTCTTCAATAGAAATAATAACCACTGCGGAGTAGTCTGTAATTCTAAAAAACAAAAATTAATAGGTTTTAAATTTTTATTTTAAAATGACATACAGATCATCTCACTTATTTAAGTTCTTGTAAAATGTGTTGTTTTTGTTTATGCAATTAATTTTTTTGGTTTGTTAAAGCAATAATTTTATCTACTACAACGACCTTGCGCAGCAAACAGTTCTTAAGAATTGTTAATTTTGTAATGCTGGATGTGCTCAAGGAATTCTGTAGTATTCGATTGAATTTGGCTATGTTCAAGGCAAGTTTTTCATCGGCTTCCTCGGATTCAGACTCGGACGACGAAGTCATCATCAGCTCATTGACTGTAATTTTTATTTTCCCCTCCTAAATAAAATTTACATTAAATTAAAATTAAAATTACATTCAACAAGCTGATGATGACTTCGTCGTCCTAGTCCGAATCCGAGGATGCCGACGAAAAACTTTCCTTAAACATAGCCAAATTCAATCGAATACTCTTATCTATGACAATTTTCCCTGAAAAAATAAATTAAGTATGATAACTGTTACCTTCCTATGTGATAATACTCTTGCTGTATTCGAAGGAGACACATACTCTTCCTTTTTCTCATCCTGTTTATTATAAAATTGTCATAATCAGAACGATCGGAGATAAGATGAATTGTATCTTATTGTTTTTAGAATAAAATAAGTATGAGATCTTTTACCTTCCTGTGTGTTAATACAACATTCGATGGGGGCCCCTTTTCTTCTTTTTTATCCTTCTGCTCATCCTCTTTCTATATAATTTAGGAATTATATTTCTGCACTCGCAAAAAATTTCATGGATTTTTAAAATTTTCAAAAATTTAATGAAGATCGAATTTTGATTTTGAGACAAATATTTGAAATTTTGATCATTCATAAACCTTCCCTGGGATAAAGGGAGGTGCCACAAAAAATTTGGACCCGAGCGATTCAGCCGTTTTAACGTTTATTGACATAGAGAATAGAATATATAGAGAGGAATTTACTGGAAAAAAGTTTAAAACGGCCATTTTGTTGTACTGTTTCCATACTGCAGTTGTACTTTACATATTTATGCTATATTATTGTATATGAGTAAATTCAAATAGCAATGCACTTAGTTTATCAAATATTCAACGAGTCGGTTTTTCTTACAATATATTTATGTACAAAGATATAAAAAATACAAACTTTAAATTGCACGATACTTATACGAGTTTAATAGTAATAATCAATGAGTTTCATTAAGTAGGGGAATTCTTCAAGAGAACCTCAGTTTAAGGGAGCTGACGATCAACTGTCTTTTTTCCCTATGTTTCGCTCCACCCTTAGTTTGCATTCTGCCCCACGCACCCGGCGAGCTGCCGGCCAACCCCCTCAGCTCCCGGGCTTGGAGATAACGGATTTCTCCGCGTGGCTTGGGTTTAAATATAGAAACCAAACATAAACAAGATTTATCCGTTAGCTTGGATACATAGGGGGGGAAACAAAATGGGGTAGAATGCAGACGAAGGGTGAATAACAACAGTAATAATAATGATACTAAAAAAATGCTATTTACAGTCGCAGGAAAGATCATAACAACATTTTCCTGCTACAATATAACCTGTTGGACCCTGGAATATTATTTTATAGAAAATCTAAATAAAATCGTCGGGGGAAAAAAGCTTGAACTCGGGTAAAAATCAAGGTGGAAACAAAACAAAATTAGATTTAAAAACTGCATTCTATTTTGTAAAAACTTGTAGAGCCATCATTTTCTGTGCTATAGACCTTAAAGATGTGATACTGTTTATAAGAAAGACATACTATTCCACGTTTTCTGATTTTTAATTAGTTTAAAAATGTCGGGGAAAAAAAGCTTGAACTCGAGTAAAAATCAAGTAAAAAACAAAACAAAATTAGATTTAAAAACTGCATTCTATTTTGTAAAAACTTGTAGAGCCATCATTTTCTGTGCTGTAGACCTTAAAGATGTGATACTGTTTATAAGAAAGATATACTATTCCACGTTTTCTGATTTTTAATTATTTTAAAATCGTCGGGGGAAAAAAGCTTGAACTGGAGTAAAAATCAAGGTGGAAACAAAACAAAATTAGATTTAAAAACTGCATTCTATTTTGTAAAAACTTGTAGAGCCATCATTTTCTGTGCTATAGACGTTAAAGATGTGATACTGTTTATAAGAAAGACATACTATTCCACGTTTTCTGATTTTTAATTAGTTTAAAAACGTCGGGGAAAAAAAGCTTTAACTCGGGTAAAAATCAAGTAAAAAACAAAACAAAATTAGATTTAAAAACTGCATTCTATTTTGTAAAAACTTGTAGAGCCATCATTTTCTGTGCTATAGACATTAAAAATGTGATACTGTTTATAAGAGAGACATACTATTCCACGTTTTCTGATTTTAATTAGTATAAAATCGTCGGGGGAAAAAAACTTGAACTCGGGTGAAAATCAAGTAAAAAACAAAAAAAATAGATTTAAAAACTTCATTCTATTTTGTAAAAATAGAGCCATCATTTTCTGAAAAATTGTCCGTAAATAATACAGAATTCACCAAAGGCATATTATAAGAATTGTTACGTTTAAATTAATTAAAGTACAGTTCAGTGCAAAAGTGTAATATGTGATGTTAATAGTACCTTTGGTTGAAGTTAGTAGTGAAGAGCTGTTTGGAAAATGAAATTTTTCATTATCTTTACATCTCTGTTTTACCAATGGAGACAATGACATTATATATTGAAAAAATTATTTTCAATGAAAATATAACTGCATCTGAAATATAATATTTACATTAAGTAGTATAAAAAGTTAATTTAAGTATACTATTATGTAAAGGTACATTACAGCCTTGAGTAATAGTCCCTGACAAGGAGAGACACTGCTAGGTTTAGGTTGTAGGGGATATTTGCTGGACGGGGGAAATAAGGTTCATTCTGGATTCCATTATTTCTCCTTGTCTGCGAGAGATGTGTTTCCCTAGTATTTATGTTCTCGTTCTTCATCTTGTTCTTCTTGTTGTTCTTCTTGTTGTTTTTCTTGTTCTTGCTTCTAGGATTGGGCAAGTAATGTTAAATATTTAACAAAATTTGCTTTTTTGTAAAATGTTTGATAAATTAAAAAAATTGAATATTTTTGTTTTTATTACTTTTTTTAATTTTTCTTCTTGTTCTTTGTTAGAATTATGCAATGTTTATAAAGATGATTAAATTACATTTTAAAGAGGTTGTCATGCTAGATATATAATTGAAATAAGAGTTAATTATCGGGTAAAATGTAATAATAATCATAATCTTTCTAAAAAGTTTCTAATGAAGTAATCTGTGTGTCTGATAATCATTCATAACTATTGATTTATAATGATAACTAAAAAGTTGCAATTAATATGCACTGTTATGAACTATTAATAACAGTGTGATAGGTAAAGGAAGAAATAGATAATAGATCCATTTAGTCATATATGTTAATTTGAAAAAAAGTGTTATTATTAAATTCCTGTTGGTATATATTTGCTATCATTGCAATTATTTACCTGCTTCAGCAACAGGTTCCAGAGTGGGAGTGGGAGTTGCCACAACAGATGATTCCTCTGGATGAGCCAGGTCCATAGCACCTGGAACTACATCAGCTGGCAGTACTACATTATGTACTGAGTGAGAACTGTTGAATGCTAGAAATATTAAATCTTGAAAGGACTAATAAATAAAAATTAAAGGATGTTTAGGTTGAAACCTCATTATTTTTACAGTTAATCAATATGAGTTTTATGTGATATTCCTGTCTGAATAAATTGATATTAAATTGTGTCAAATTTATGTGTACAAAATTTTAAATATATAAAATTATGTTGATATAAATTTAACACAGTTATATGTATTAATTTGTCCTGAGAGGAACATCTTATAGACTCATTATTGATCTTTATCAACTTCTAAAATGCTCTTGTTTCACCCAATAACCCCTTTACTTTATCCATTGGTTAGGTAATACCTAACTTTTTATTGTTTTACAACATTAAAAAATGTGCTTTATTGCTTATAAAAATAAGAATTATTGAAATAAGGAATACAGTCTAAACATATTCTAATGTGAACAGTGTCTGAATTTAATAAATTTAAGTTACAGTTCAAATCCACTAAAACTCGGTTGCAATTGAGCACCAGCTTAAAGCTTGAAAAATTAAATACAATTCTAAGTGGGAGAAACCAAATTTGAGCTCAGCTTAAATTCTTTAAATTTGGTCTCTGTTTGGCGCAAATATAAATTCGCAGTTCACAATGGCACCCTTGAAAAGAAATAGGTGGACTGACTTGAAAAAGCTTATTATTGAGAATTTTTAATTAATTGTTATAAAATTATAAATAACAATTTCAAATTTCAAAATAACAATATTCGAGAAACTCCAGATAATTATAAATTGTTTAAATAAACAAATTATAAATATTACTTATTCTTAATTCATAATAATTATTCTTATTATTAAGTAATTGTAAAGGTTTTATGATGCTGTGTACCTTCAGGATTAAAATTAATAGAGGGAACTGCTCCATTGGTTTCTACCGGGTTGTAATAAACATATACATTTATTATCGAGGGTTGCTCCATTGTCTGAAATATATTATTTGAAAAAAATTTGAATGCAATATTATGTGATTTTCTATTTGCTGAGTGCCACAAATTAAAGTAGTAACCACTGTCTAATGAATATGTATTTGTCAAAATAGTAATATTGTGAATTATTTCAATATGAGATTAAGAATAATTGAGATAATGAATTACAAATACATTTCTTACAATAATAGAGATAGTTTTAAGAACTAATTATACAATAAATTATTTGATGATAATTATAGTTAAGTTTTGTGTGGACCTTATATATTGTAGACAAAGTTTATAAATCATCAAAATTGGTTAAAAAAATGGAAATGTTTGAATTTAAATAAAAGAAATTAAAAAAAATGTTGATAATAGTAATTGAAATATTTAAAAATTAAAGTTTGATCTTGTAGATTTTTAAATTTGATAGATTTAAATGTTGGTCTGTTCCAATAGACACCTTTCTTTGATAATAAATACACTTTAAAAAGTTTATAAAAGTATATTTATTATCAATATCGGAGGTAGACCTTGCCTATCGCTAACGTCGAGAGCCCAAAGTATTTTGTGATTAAAAATTACAGAAAGAAATAACATTTTGCGAAATACTCTGGACTCCCCCTAGAAATTTTAGTAGAAGTTTTAGTAGTAGTTCTAGTAGTGGTTAGTAAGTTAAGTTTTGTAGTGGTTAGTAAGTTAAACTAGCATAAGTAATGAATATATATGAACAGTTTCAGATACTGTTCATGTTTGTATATAGTTTTGCTATTACGGAAATGACACTGACAAATGGTGAGTCCACTATTGGTTGATAATGTTCCTGAAGAAGCGGATAATAGTTAATATAAAAAGCTTAAAAATTGATGAGAAAGAAATACCATATTGATATATTCAGTTTCAAAAATTGTAAATCTACAGCTATGGTTCTACGGAAACGACGGTGGCCGATGGTGAGGCCTCTTGTTTTTCATGTGTAACCTTAGCACAGAAAAAAATTTAATAATGAAATTTGCAATTGGAGTCAACAATTGAATGACACAGAATGAATTCCAGAAGTGATAAAACACCTATGATTCTGGTAGCCCATTTTTATTAGAAGAAATGACATGTTGGTTTATATAGTGGACTCTTCTTAGGTTTTAGTTAAAAATAAAATATATGTATATAGCTATGCTTCAACGGAAACGACAGTGACTGATGGTGAGGTCTCTTGTTTTTCATGTTTAACCTTAGCAAATAGACACAATTGTGTTAGACAT